GCACAGTGGTAACAAGGCATGATGGATCCATGTTCTCATTCTGTTTACGCCAAATTCTGACTCTACCATTTGAATGTCTCAACATTCAAGAAATCGAGACTCATCAGACCAGGCAACATTTTTCCAGTCTTCAACTGTCCAATTTTGGTGAGCTCGTGCAAATGTTGTGCACTAACACTATACTATACTAATAGTATATACATTCTAAAGAGCCCATATTAAATAAATTAAATTAAAATGTACATTAACTTACAGGTGCATGCTACCTTTTAGCATTAGCGCTCCTGGAAACTCTGTATCAGGGATATTTGTTTCGGGAAGTCCGGATTTACTCAAGATGGTTTTACACGAGTTGAGTGCCAACTGTAAACAGTGAGCAACCATCCAGTGAGAAGCCAGGTCAGAGCAGTTAGACATCATAGGTGCGAGGCACGGAGTGTAGGGGAGCATCCTCAGCACTCCCCCTCACTACAAGCATGCAGATCTAACTGCACCACCTCCTGGACCATTCAGACAAAGCGCCTCCTGCAGAGGGACATGGGGTCGATGCCCACTGCCCTGCCCTTTGTGTTCTTTGTGGGGGTTAAACGGCACTGGGAGCAGAGGGGGAATCTAACAAATGGTACACCGTGCAGAGAGGGGAAACTCCTACACAAAGCCTGTAAGGTAAAGTCACCAGTTCTAGTGGGAGGGGGAGGGGTCACACACAGACGTGAGAGAAGAGGAAAGACTAGCGATCGCCTGCTGGCCATATGTACCTGGCCTGGTTCATATGTACACTGAGAGAGTACTGTTTTACAATATTTAATATCTCGGTTTACAACGTGCTTAACACATCTTAGCTTCTGTGCAGATAAAGAATGACAAGCAGAAACAAACCAGTCTGTAAAACACCAATGAACCAAACTACAGGAAACCTACATAACTTTATTAGCAAAAGACACTTTGTGGGTTTGTTGGTGGGTGGGCCATCTGGAGTATTCGTGCCATGGTCACACTGAAATAAACTGAAAGAAAACCTGGAAACAGAACAAGGTATGCGGCAGTGAACTCTAGTGGCTGTAGTTAGGCAGAAACAGAGACTGTGAGCTGCAGGAGTCAAGGCAAGTTTGGAGGGGCTGCGGTCCAGCTTCACAGCATCAGCAAAGGTTAGTGCAAGCAACAGAAACCGCAGAGGGAACGCAACCGGGGCACCAAGCGAGGTGTCCACCGGGGGCAGCAGTCATCCCCTCTACCAGGGGCAGCAGACACCCCCAGGTGGCTCCTGTCCACGTCTACAGCCTGAAGCAGGAAGACACAGTGGAACAGACGTGGAGAACCGAAGCACTTACAACTGCCTTTAACTTTAATGGGTGAAAACAGCACAGAGAACAGAATCAGCAACAGGGGAGCGCCACTTCCCTGACAACGAGCCCACGCAGGGCACACACATGGAGCGCCACTTCCCTGACAACGAGCCCACGCAGGGCACACACATGGAGCGCCACTT